GCTAGCATGAATTACAAACCCATGCAGACCAGACACTTCACTGGCGCTCCAGCACAGGTTCACGGCAACACTTCAAAGGACGGAAGCTGCTGTGCTGTTTTGTTTTTTTTTTAATTATTGTGGTAAAATACATATAACATAAAATTTAATCCTTTTAACCATGTGGAGGTGTACAGTCCAGAGGCATTCAAAAACTGAGAGTCTGGAGCCACTGAGCAGTAACTCCCCATCTTCTCCTTCCCAGCCCCTGGTAACCCCTGGCATGTTGTTTTTCCAGCGAGGGAACTGTGGCTCAGAGAGGTGAAGTCAATTTGCACAAGGTCGCACAGCTGGGACATGGAACACGCAGGGCTCGAGGCCTGCTGGTCTCCTCACTGGACTCTGAAGCTCCTGTTCTTTCTATTCGTCACACTGCCTGTGACACGTCTCAGGCCTGTCCCCAAAGTCACCACACATGGGGGAAACAGGAAATTGTAGCTGAATGTACCTTGATTTATAAAATAGTCATTACAAAATTTTACAAAATACTCTTTACATGTTGGCCACCTCTTTCTGCACACACCATGTCTTCTCTCCCACTCACGGGGACATGCTCCAAGATATGTGGAGTTATGACGTTTCCCACTGAGATAGAGCCAGGAGGTGGTTACAGCTCCACCCTTCATCTAGAGGAGCGGTTCTCACCCTGTGGGTCAGGACCCACAGGAACTGTATTAAAGGGCTGCCACGGCACTCGGATGGTTGAGAACCACTGACCTAGAGGCTACACTCTAGAAAAACACCTGGCACACTGAAGGGGATAAGTGGAGTTATGAAACAAATTTCAGAACAAATCTACAAAAAAGACACTGTGTCCATTGACACAGTGAGTGGTTGGGGAGGGAGCTCAAATTGTAGCTTCTGCTCTCTAAAAAGCATCTATTGAATCCTGACTGTGTTCCTTGGATGCCAGCTCCTCACTGTCCCCTGGCATGCTGGCCTGCTGGCCCCTCTCAGCAGGAAAGGCCTGAGGGCTGGCTCTGCCTGATGGCCACGAGGAGGAAGATTTGTGTTTACATTACCCAGTCAATTCTGTATTTATTTTAGATATTAAGCAGTGACATAAAAGCTGCTGACATTAACCTTCAGGGGCAGAAATTGTCTTTAATGGACCCCATAAAAGTTATTATTGATGGCAGCTGCATGCAGCATCACCGTGACCTCAGCAAAAGCCTCCACCGCTATCAATACTGTTGACAATTACTATTGACTAATGCAAGGCCGGCCGGGGAGGCAGAGTCGATGTCTCCGTGGCTGGAGGTTGCTGGGGTGATGCTTTATATTTTGTATTTATCTGGTAAGAATCTCTGAGAACTCAGTGGCACATTTTTGGTGGCTCCAACTGAGAGTCCAACACTCTTGCTGACTCCAGTGGAGGTGGGCAAAGGGCTCAGATTACAGAGGACTCAGGCCACCAGAGAGATTCAAGTTCAAATCTAGGTTTTGCCAATTTGCTGACTTCCCAGTTATCATATCTCAGTTTGGAGCCTCAGTTTTCCCATCTGGCAAACAGAGATGCCATGGAGTTGTCACCTGTACAAGTGATAGCAGTGATAGGCCACAGCACGTGGCTGCTGGCTTCCCTCCACTCCTGAAAAGGGGCCACAGTGATGTGCTGGCTGATGTGGCCAGTGGAGCTAAGTCCTGTTCTGCTGGTAAGGTCTGAGTTCTTATCATAGGAAGAGGAGAGAGCTGGGGCTAGGAGGATGGGTGGGAAAGAGGAGAGGAGGGACTAGAGAAAGAAGGAAGAGCCTGAAAGGAACCCAGACTCTTGTGATAGAGCCTTGCTCTGGCTAGACTAGACATGTGGCCTGTGCACACTCTTTATCTCTTTGTGCCTCAGTTTCTCACCTAGAAGTTGGAGAGGTAACATTGTGAATCAAAGGAATGGGAGGCTAATGGGTGAATCAAAGTGAGCCATTCCTAAGATCACTGTCATTATTTAGACCCAGTACTGTATAACAAAGCTGTTAATTTAACTTCCTAAATGGGAGCCAATGGGGGAGCCTTACAGCACCTGTGGTGTGTCTGGGTTTGGGGAGTCCTCGCCTGGAAGGGATGTGGAGCCTAAGGGCCCTCTTTAGATTTACCTGCCTACCTCCTCTGCCTGTTCATGTACTCCAAGCACAGTGAGCCCTCAAGTTCTGTGGCCAGTGTGGAGGTAGAGAGAGAGGGGGACACGGCCTGGGGAGCAGGCACCCATTCCCCGCCTCCATTATCAAAGGCTGAAACCCTTCAGGCTAGTTAAATGTGTAATTATCACCTAACAGAGGTTTAATTCAACTGTAATTCAGCTCTCAGGGAATATACAATAATGTGGGCGGTATATACCTCACTCTGTCATGTTTTTATGGAAAATGATCATTTGTCACCACGGCAAGAAGCCTTCAGAAGAGACAGCCTAAGTATTTGCTACAGAGGGAATTCACTGGAAGCAGGGCTATAACAGTCAAGGTTTTAGAGTCAGACAGGCCTGAGTTTGAATCCCATCTTGTTAGCTGTGTGACCCATGCAGGTTTCGTCACCTGTGTGGGCTGCAGTGTCCTTACTCTGTGCAATGCGGGTAATAAAACCTTCCTCAAATGGTTGTAGGGGAGTAAATGAGGTCATACATCTAAAACAGTTTCCACTCTGCTGAGGTTAGTATGTTGCTATTATCATTTCCTCTTGTGTGGCTTCATCTTATGCATGTACTGAGAATCACAGACTTCTAGATCTGTAGAAGAGCCTACAGGTCAGTAGGCTCAGTTATTCTCAAAAGGTGTTTATTAAAACACTGGGCCCATCAGATGCTTAGAGAATACAGTTCAGTGGTCAAAAAACTCCAGTGGAGCACTCTCCCTATAGTTCTCCTTGATTACTTATCCCGTAAGTGTACACGCTAGCAACCCAAAGGCTCTGAGAAGTCCTGCAGTAATGAAATTAATTCAAATTTGTGTAACCTAGTAACCCAATAACCCACATTATTTAAACACAGAAAATTCCCTCTCCCATCTAAGAACTATTAGTATTTGCAAAACAGGAAATACTGATTTCATTTAAACTATTATTTTATAGATGAGGAAACTGAGGACCAGAGAAAGAACACAGCTCACCCAGTGCCACACTCCAAGCCAGTGCTGGACCTGAGGTTCCTATTCTCAGTGGTAGGGTGGCACACAGACCCCATGTCCTCTGCACCAGACCCTGCACTGCCCTTCAGTTTGGTTCTCTGGTGAGTGCATGGTAGGGTGGGGAGGTGGGCTGCAGGCTCACTGTGGGCCTTGGTGGGAAGGTGGGTGAGGGAGTGTGGATAGCTTCCCACATAGAGAGGGAAACTCCTCAGATACTGAGGGCATGGCCCCATCACAGGGCTGGTTTGGGGTCAGGGGAGGGTGATGTTGCCACAGCAGAGCCTGAGTCACCTGGACAAGTATACAGGCTCTCGAGGAAAACATCTGTGTCCTCTGAGATTGGTGGCAGAGTGGATGTTTGGAATTCTGCTGTGCCTGACTCTTAAAGGGGATAAATTTCCCCACCTGACCCTGACTTTACCTGGTCTCCTGCCTGATCCCCAAACTGGAGATCAATCTTGGTCTTGCACAACTCAGATGGAGCCTCCTTTCAGAGACTAAACCGTGTAAGCCCTGTAAGCCCTCATCTCTGACCTGGCCCCTACCTGATCCTGGGTAGGAGTCACTGGGACCCTGTGTGTGGAGGTGGAAGCCAGCAGGGGGCCCTGGCACCTGGCTTGCTCTTCCTCCTCACACCCACTTTGAGGCCTCCCAGAAACAAAAGGCCTCCCCTTCCTGGCCTCCCAGAAACAAAAGACTCTGCCAGGCTGTCTCTGGGCTCTGCCGCTCTCTGTCTTCTCTTTTCTGAGCAGGACCATCCTCTGTGCTGACCCAGCTCGGCAAAGCTTCCCAGGGGCCGCGGGGTGGAATGGCACAGGAGGGGAGAGTTCCCTGAAAGGTGTGGCTCCAGGTAGCACTCAGAGCCCTGCAGAATCCACTGGCCAACAAGGTCCCCAGAGGAAGGAGTAAGATTCTGAAACCCGGCTCCCTTTCCTCCATCAGGGACTATGCAACCTGGACGGCATCTTTTTCTCTCCTAGCACCTCTTGGGCCTTTGGGGAGGAGCTGCAGGGAGGAGAGTGGAATAAGGCGCCTGGAGCGAGCACTTCACCAGATCATGGGAAGCTGAAGTAAACCTCAACTTCTAATTTTTAACATTTACTTGTTTTCTTTTCCCCCTTCTATTTTATTTTCAATTGACAACTAATGATCGTATATATTTATGGGGTGCAACATGACATTTTGATACATGTAGACACACAGTTTGGAACGACTAAATCAAGCTAATTGTCTATCATCTCACTTATTTTATTGTGACGAGAATATTTAAAATCTACTCTTTTAGCAATTTTGAAATATATATTGTTAACATGTGGTACGACGGACCTTCCAAACTCATGCTTCTTAAGTGAAACTTTGTACCCTTTGACCAACATCTACCGTTAACTTCAAGTTTTAAGTTATTCTGCAGTGACAGTTTTTGTTTGGAAGCCATCCTCTGGGGTGAGACAGGACTGCTGAGTACCTGGAGGCTGGAGGCAGTAAGAGCAGATTCAGGTAGGACCTCTGTTGGACAGGACCTCTGTTGGACAGCTGTGGGGGATCTGTTACCACTGTCCCATGCTCCCTCTGCTCACACACAAGTAGGCACCTTGTAAGCAATAACCCAGCCCCTTACATGCCTCCCTAATCTAGAAGAAGAGGGCAGTGACCCCATCTCTGGCACACCACTGAAGGGTGAGGATGTCATGTCCCTGAGCAAGAGGCTCTGACTTTTGACCATGGAGAACAAAGCAATTTTTCACCAGCTTCACCAGAGCCCCAAGCAATGGACCAGAAAATCAGTATTGTAATTAAAACCCCATCCTGCAACCCAGGCACCTGGCACAGGCCACGTGCATCACTCACCGGTCTCAGTGTTCTCGTGCTCAGTGTCAGTGAGCGTGAGGTTGGAATTGGCCCGGCTGGACAGGCAGGAGCTGCGCCCTGACCTTGAGCTCCGGCCCCACAGCCGCACGGGGTGCTCAGGGGACAGCACAGTATCGGCCTCCATGTCAGCATCGGAACTGGCCCCCATGGAGTAGCCGCAGTGGGGCAGGCCAATGTCAGTCCGGTATAGGGTCCCATGAGGGGGTGTCACTTCTCCCAGACCCAGTTCACGCAGAGTGAAGTTGGCGCCTGGGAAGAAACACAGGTGAGCTTGGTTAGGGTGCTGAGAAAGGTCTGCCCACCAGCAGCCTGGTGCCCTGGCCCCAGGATTCGTTGTTGTTCTTTGAACTGGCTGTGTGGGGTGTGGTCCTTTGCCAAGAAATCGCCTTGCCTGCAGGGCTCTTTCTGCCATCTCCCCACCAGCCCACATCCTCCATAGCCTTTAAGTCTCCCCCAGTACCTACACCTGTGCAGAAGTCATTGCTTCATCCTCCAAACCCCCTCTCAGGGCCTGGCCCCAGTTACACTGCACAATAAAATTGTTTAAGGGTCTGTCTCCTCTGAAGGAGGTCACCTCAATGAGGGCAGACACCACGTCTTGGTTGTTCCTAAATCCTGGAGCCTAGATCAGAATACAGAACTTGGAAAATTAAATGCCTACTAAATTGAATTGTGGCCATCAGGCTTCCTCTTCCAGGGAGCACTTGTCAGCACATCCTGCACAGTGCAGAAGCCCTGTCAGTGAGACCAAAACAGCTCCTCTGGGACCAGAAGATCCTTTCTGGCTAGGTCAGGAAAGCCTGGACCATGAGAGTGAAGAAGATGGTAACTGGCAGAGAAAGTCAGCCTCTGACAAGGAAGGAGGCTCTGCCTGCTGCTTCCTCACCCCACTGGGGGCTGTGGTGTGGAATGGGCAGTGGCAGGTCTCCGGAGGCCTTGGGAAGGGCCTGGCAATGCCTAGGACTGAGGTTGGGGGAAGACGAGGGGGAGGCATGTTAGTATTTGAAAGACAAAGGGAATGCTGACTTAATGGGAAACCAGCCTCCCTGTCACTTCTGAATGTCAATTCAATGCCTGTTTAGGGACAGCTTCACCCATACTGTAATATTCCCAGGAGTGTCGGTGGGGGGGGAGGGGGGAGAGGAAGTGCACAAAGGCAATAAGAGTCACATCACTGTTTAACCAACCATCTGGGGAATGAACTTAGGCTCAGACAGCAGCCACAGTTAAGCCAACTCAAGTTGGCCTGGGCCTTTACTGAGATACAGTGATGAGTAGGGCATGGCCCTGACTTTACTGAGTCACAGTCAGGTGGGGGCTCTGAAACACAACTGAACACTGGATTAAAGGTGAAAGTGGAAACCCTCCCAGAGAGTGTTATGGGAGCACAGAGGCAGAAGGTAGAATGTCTGGGTGGAAGCTCAGAGGAGAATAAACATGGAGAGCAGAGTGAGAAGACAGAGAGGCAGGGGCCCAGTTTAAAGGCATCCTGCAACCAGGGCCAAATACAACAAGCCCACAGGAAAGTGAGAAGAAACGGCCCTGCTGGGAGGTGAGAAGGAAGCCGGCAGAGGTGGCAGCCAATTATAATTGTGTGGCTCACTCTTACCAAGGAACCCTTGTGCTCCCTAAGTGAGCTAGCCATCTCTGTATCCAAGACCTATCACTTCTGCTGCATGCAGTGCGCTCTGTATAACTTAAACACACACACAGACAGACAGACAGACAGACACACACACACACACACACACACACACACACACGTGCCCTGGCAGTGCTGTGGGCCTTGGGTAAGGGGGGAGGAGAGGAGAGAGGAGAGAGCAGCTGGGAAGCTCCTGGGGCAGGCTGGGGCAGTGGGAGGAGGTGAGCCCCGAACCCCACCCAGCTGGTTATGCTGCACAGCCATGATGTGAAATTACAGTCATGAAGTTTTTTTTGTACTGGCTGGAAAACAACTGGGACCTGAGCCACTTCCGTGCCTCCCTCCACATCCAGTGCCTTCCAGCCTCTGCTCTGGCTCCACCCCCTTTCCTACCCACCCTCTTCCATCTCCCCATAACCCAGTTACTAAACAAATGGTTAATGTCAGCAGGCCTGCACAGCAGGGGCCTTTGGGCTCTGCGCACTGGCCAGGCAGACGTTCTGATTGGCTAGGGGCTGGGCCAGACCAGATGTTAAACATTTTGTATATCACTCCCCTGTGCCATACTCCAATCTGCCCTCCTATTTTCCCCTCTTCCTAAGAAAAAGAAAACTCTGCATTGGAACCTAAATCCTTCAGTCTGCTTCCCATCCTCCCTGCACTTCACACTCCCTGGCAGCTCTTTGATCAACAAGCCCCACTCCAGCCCTATCTGTGCTCTGCTGGGCCAGCCCTCTCGAGAGAGGCCACTCTCATGTTATGAAGAATGAGTGCTACACTAAGTGAAAAATCAAATTTAGTTGCAATAAACAGCCTGGGCTGCATTGATTTCCATATGGCTTGCCCTGCAGACCCTCTTATGCAGCCAGGCTCACTGTCAAGACCAGTGAGCTGAGATGTCTCGGGGCTGGAGAAATGCATGGTAAGGGCCAATTCCAAGGGCTCAGCAATGCGGGTGAACCAGCAATGCGGGTGAACCAGCCCCTCCGATGTGTCTGGAAGATGTATCGCATCATATGTGAGAAGTCCTCATGGTTTGTTTGCTTTATAACCTTTTGGCCTTGTTCCTGCAGACTGGGCATGGTTGGAAATCCACCTAACTCAACATCTAGCTGTACCATCTTGTACTGGTGATCACCAAGCTTCAATGTTCTTATCTTTAAAATGGGTGATAATCCATGACCTACACCCTTCAAAGGATTATTGAGGATGCAGCATGATAGTTTGAGGGAGAATATTCTGTACATTCTACATGCATGCCTGCCTATGAGATGAGATTAGTTTTCTGTTTACAAAGACAAGAAAGGGGCTAGGTTAGCATCAAAGCCAAGCAGGCTCACCGAGACACACAGGCTAGGTTAGCATCGAAGCCAAGCAGGCTCACCGAGCTCTATCACACATGGGCAGGACAAAGCTAGAGGAAATCTTGGAAGCTGTTTTGTCTCTTCCCCCAGTGAGGCCCAGAGACGACAACCGTGGGCAGTATTTCCGAAGCATCTGCTCTTCACCAGGCACTACCATCAGTGCTTTCTTTGCGGTCTTCCTGACCTTCCTATTTTGTCCTGTTAGCCCTTTGCACAGGGGAGAAGGCTTAGAGTAGTGAGAACGGCAAAGCCAGAATTCAAATACAGATCTGCCTGGTGCCAGAGTTTGAGCCTTAACCACAAGGTGGGAAAGAGACCCCTCATTTTCCAAGTCTGGGAGGCAGCTCTGCTAACAGGTCACCTTTCATGTGGGTCCTGGCCTGTGAGAGAGAGTGGCAATGAAAAGGTCATCGGTGGGCTGTGTGTGATGAGCTCCTTTTTATCTCTGGGATCTGGGGCAAATGGCTGGTCATAAGGATTAAGGAACATTCTCAAAATATGTGTTAATTCCATAGTCAATGCTTGGCTGATGCTGTGTGTAGAGAGGAGGACAGGGAAGAGTCAGAGGGCTGCATAAATCATCAGGGATTGGCCATGACCTCTGCAGGAATCCTCGAGGCAGCAGGGTAGGAAACAAACAGGGAAGCAGGTGGTGGAACAACGAGCAGTTCACTGGGCGGGACCATGAGTGGTAGGTGGTGGAGCGGCAGGGGACGTGGAGGCTACAGGGCAGAAAGGGATTTGGGGAAGGCCTCTATGCTGGGTTAAGGAGCTTAGTTTAAGGGTACATGGAAGCATTCCCTGAGCTTCACTCTGGCTGCAGTGCAGAGAATGGCCCAAGTCACCAGCTCTGGGTAGAGGACGTGATTATAGTTAATTGTCCGAGAGGGATAATAGTGGTGGGAAAGCAGAAAGCAGCAGAGAGAGTAGAGAGAAGGGGTGGATTGGAAGGGTCTTGCAGGGTAGGGTGGACAGGCTCTGGTGTTTACTGTGTTTAGCAAGTGAAGAAGGAGCCAGGGGCCCGATCGCCTCCAGATACTGTTTTCAGGTCTAATCTTCTCAGGAGCATCTCCCTCTCAAGGTCATATAGGGCTTGACACAAAGACCCTACCAAAATACTACATTTGTCTGTGGAATGAATAAATAGCAAAACTGAGAACTATCATTTATTCAGCACTTAAGTGGTGCTATCCTGCTTACCACTGAGGTATGCTCACAATTCAACACAGTAGGGGGGCTTCTCATGTCAGGTCTAAGGAGGAGGGCTGAGGCTCAGAGGGCAGCCTAACTCCACTCTAGACAGTGGGATAGTGGAGCCCAGCTCCGAACCATCTTACTATGCAAGAAAAGAAATGAACTAAGAATGAACTACACAGCAGACTTTTACAGGTGTAAGCGCCAAATACAGTAGACTTGGCATTGACCGGGCTCACGGGTGCCCCCTGGCGCGGGTGCGCCCAGGCCTCGCCGCCGGCCCTGCCCTCACCTGCGCGGCAGAACTCCTCCGCCTCCTGCGGCACCATGTCCTTGACGCGGCTGCCATAAGCCAGGCGGGCGTCCTGGTCATAGGCCTTCAGGGTCTCGCTGGAGCTGTAGGACTTCTGCGGGGCCTTGCCCTCCTCGCTGTCAGCCGACGAGCTGGTGTAGCGGCGCTCGGCGTCGCGGCGCCGGGTCAGCGAGCGGTAAGGCTTTCTCTCCTTCACGTCCATGGCCTCCAGCCCGCGCTCCTCCACATCCACAAACAGGGTCCTCGCCGCGCTCAGGGCCGAGTGATCTGGAGCCAAAAGGGCAAAGAAAGGGTGTGAGCTCCGGCCCAGAGAGGCAAAGGCAATACCTCTGTCCATCTGGAATCTCAATTCACTCCCACGACGACACGGATGGAGAATCTCAGGCTCCACCACAGCCCAGCCTGCACGTGGCAGAGGAGACTTGCACCCAGGCCCTCTAATTATGGCTGTCTCTTTCTGCTACTCAGCTTATCCGCTGTGAAGATGCCACGGGTCCCGAGGACGCTGACAACACAAGCCAGAAGTCACAGTATTTAGTAATGCCCCAAGATAAGAATAGGCCTATATTGTTGCCATCACATTACTGGCTCCTTAAGACTGTGAAATGAATGACTATATCCAGGCACCGGGATGAGCACTTTGTATATGTTATCTCATTAAATCATCATTTGTCTCAGGAAGTTATTACTCTCGCCAACCCTTTTTGGAAACGAACCAAGGTATAAACAACCAAATCACACTTACCCCACCAGATCATTATATAACTGCTTATTATCTGTTCCCTTCCACTAGCATGTAATTTCCCTGAGAGCAGATGCCTTACTTGTTTTACTCATCCCTGATCTACAGCACCTACAGCAAGACTGGTGTGTAGGAGACACCTAAAAACATTGTCTAATCAACCAGTTAACCAAACCCCAAGTGATAGGTGGGAAAACTGAAGTTCAGAACCTCCTTCAAGATCACAAAGGCAGCATGTAACAAAGTCAGGATTGGAATCCAAGTCTGTCTGGCTCTGAAGCCTGAGTGTTTGCTATCCCATTATGCCTCCCTGAAGCCTCTCCCTCTGAGTCTTACTACATAAAAATGCCCTTCCAGCTGCTCAGAGTATGTCCTTCACCTCCAGGCACCTCCCCATCGGTACCTGGGCAGCACCTGCCCATACATTTGGGTGTTGCTAAGGTGTCTGATGGGAAGCTCATAATCACCCTTTCTTTCTCCCCATCTTGACACTTTTGCCCTACACTGACATGTGGGATTTCTTCGTGGTGATAGTACCCTCTTTCTCCCTCCAGATGTCTTCCTTTAGCTCTGAGGTAGTGAAGACAACCCCCACAGGGTTGGGAGATCAGAACGGGAGGAAAACAGAATATCCTCCACAAAGACATACCAGATCTCATATTTCTTCTGAAGCATACAACCTTCTCAATCCTAGCTTTCCACGGCTCCATCTTTCACAGCAGCGAGGATACACAAAACATTCCCCCGCTTCACTATTCTATTAGAGAAATAGTGGAGCAAGGGCCACAGTAAATAATGCCAAGCATCAGGTCTCTGTCTGGTGGAGCCTCTGACAGCTGGGTCCGTCCACAGCAGTGGGTGCTCTGTGCCTGTCAGTCTGCGGACAGTGTGAGAGTGTGATGGGGGAGGGGTCTTGTAAATTTTAATACGAGCTGGAAAGTTGGATGTGAAATGTATGATTTTTATATGTTATCCATTATATATTTTTAATTTCAAAAATTTCATTACTTGGCAGGCTAAACACACTGGTGGGTCAGATTTGGTCTGAGGCTAGTTCTGCCTTTGATCATGAACATCAGAGGCAGATTTTTGGCTTGAAGAGCCACATTTTTCAAAAAGTGCAAACATTTGTGATTTTATTGGTGCCTCATAATAACTGTGAAGCATATACAACAACTATTTTTATCCCCATTTTATAGGTGGAGCAACAGTGACCCAGGGCTAGATGGTCTCCTGCCAAAGGCCACCTGGTGAGTCAGTGGTAATACTGTTTCTAACTGCCATGCCTCAGGGTTGTACCTGGAGCCAGTTGAGATGGATAAGTGACAATTTTTGGATCCCAGTTCTCAAAATACCCCTAGAAATCAATGCTAGGGGAAGGGGCAGGACCTAAGATAACACAGATATCAAATCATGTTACTGGGTCCCAAACTCAGGGCTCTGAGGTTTACCATCTTGATGCTTAGCCTCCCAATGCAGGACAATGGTCCCCTGAGTGTCTGAAAGGACCATGAGAAATATTGGTGACAGTACCTTCTACTCCAAGGTCTTTAAAACTTTGACTGCAACTCATAATTAGAAAAACATCTTACACTGTGAACCAATACACACATTGACGTGTATGTGTGTGTGTTTATTTGTATAAAAAGGAAACAAAAGATTCATGTAAGTTATTGCATGCTAAGCAATGCACTCTGATATTTCCTGTCCCATTCTCTTTCATTTTTTAAAAAGGCTGATTATAACTCTCTATGTTGATATCATGACCCAGTACTAGCTCTTGACCTAAAGCACTGTTCTGGTATAATTTGGATGAGGATTTATGGCAAATGCTGCCTCTGACCCTTTGCTTCCTACCCCTGAGTGACAATAATGCGGTGATACTAATACGAAGATGCATTCAATAAATATTAGCCATTGTTAATACTAGTCAATAATCACTCATAATAATAGTTTTAATAATAGCTAATACTTGTTGAATGTTTTTACTATTATTATCTATGATAACATCTTTAATTTTCACACCAGTCTTGTGATATAGATATTATGATTATTTGCAAATTACAGATGAGAAATTGTGAGGTTAAGCATGCTGCCTAAGGTTATACAGCTCTTGAGTGGCAGAGCCAGAATGGTGACCTAAGGGTTGAACTTGGCATGCAGATGTTACTGCCTGCATGGTGGTACTGCCAGGTGGTACTGCCTGCACAGGCTGTGCCAGAGGAATCTCTGAAGCCCAGAAGTCATGACATTGTCATGCTTATGCCTTCTAGCCAGCCCTGTTGAGCCTTCGGGATCAATTCTGGTTTCTTTCTTCTTCCTCTTATTTTTTCCAGAAGCCCTTAGTTTATTTTTTGGCAGAGGATTCTAGCAACATGATCTCTTCCTGAGTTGTGAGGCCCCCAGTCTTTTGTCTGAGCCACTCTTTGGCCTTAAAACCAAGAATCTGCCCTCCATATTACCTTGTGTAAGTATGATATTTGAAACAGTGTTCAGAAGACATTAACATGCTGTAACCTCTGATATATATATATATATAGATATATATATATAAATGATATCTATTAGTTTCTTTTTAACATTTTTTATTAATTTATTTTTATTTCAGATTAATATGAGGGAACGCATTTTCAGGTTACAATGTTCTCACTTCTAAGGTAAAGTTCAAGTTGTAGGAGAGTCCCTCACCCAGGGGGGCGTGCTGAATACCCTTGCATGGTGCACATTAGGTGAGATCTCACCAAATACCCTTCCTCCTCCACCAACTGCCCAACCTCTTTCCCCTCCCGTCCTCCTCCTCCCCTCTTCCCCTGCTAGACTATATTTGTGTTTTATCATTCGTATGAGTGTGTGTTTATATATTGGTTTCATATTAGTATTGAGTACATTGGATACTTTTTTACCCTCATTCTTGAGATACTTTACTAAGACTATATTTCAATTCCATCTAAGTAAACATAAAAGATGTAAAGTCTCCATCTTTTTTATGGCTGAATAGTATTCATGGCATACACATACCACAATTTGTTAACTCATTCATGGGTTGATGGGCATTTGGGTTGCTTTCACGACTTGGCAATTATGAATTGAGCTGTAATAAATA